ATTTTCTACATTCTTTCACTATCCTGACATTGATTTTGACTATGGAACTATGACACGAAATTCGACTATCTACGATGAAAACAAAAAGTCTGAGATTAATTCTATAATAAATAGTCTATATGAAAAATATTCTATGTTGCCAATCATCTCAATAATTTTTCGAAAATAAACTTTTGATATAATTACTTTCTGATGATATACTATCGTGCGTTATACAAAAAGAAAATCCGAAATAAAGTGGTGAACATAAATATAGGGCACTTTAGTTTTGAAAATTTTTCGACGAAGACAACTAGCTAGGTCAAATACAAATAGTGATTTGGATAGCCCCTGAAATTCTCTTTCCAATACAATACATGTCAAATTTTAAAAAGAAATTTTCCAAAACAATTTTTCCAGAAAACTTTTCACTGAAATTTCAGCTCCTCAAAAAAAAATCGGCAAAAATTTTTTAAAATATAGTCATCTGAAAGAGCAAAAACTTCTGAGCAAAATGAGGGGTTGGCCAGCTCTCCACGATGTTTCGTTGTAAAGTTATAAGCATCAGAAAAACCGAAAAAAATGTATTTTTAGTCAATTTTATCAAAAAAGCCCTAAAAATCAACTAAAAATACATTTTTTTCGGTTTTTCTGATGCTTATAACTGTACAACAAAGCATCGTGGGTAACTGGCCAACCCCTCATTTTGCTCAGAATTTTTGCTCTTTCAGATGACTATATTTAAAAAAATTTTTGTCAATTTTTTTGAGGAGTTGAAATTTCAGTGAAAAGCTTTCTGGAAAAGTTTTTTTGGAAAATTTCTTTTTAAAATTTGACATGTATTGTATTCGATAGAGAATTTCAAGGGCTATCCAAATCATTATTTGTATTTGACCTAACTACTTGTCTTCGTCGAAAAATTTTCAAAAATAAATTGTTCTATATTTATGTTGACCACTTTATGTATTGAATTTTTGTTGTTCAATATGAATGAATTCTTGAAAAAATCAATGAAATTTCGTTATTTAAATTATATTTTTAAATAAGAAAAGTTTATTTAGTTTAAAAAAAAGTTCATTTTTCAAAATTGTTTTGATCTTTTATTCCTTGATAAAATCCAGTATGATATCCGGCTAAATACCATGACATTAATGTAGAAGATAGATCATCATTATCATTATTTAAATTTAATATGGGAAAATGAGGTGGAGGTGGAGGTGGAGCAGGTAATATATCATGTTCATCTATTGATGATAAAACTTCTTGTTGTTGTTGTTCTTCTTCTGTTCGTATTTGTAAATCAGTTAATGGATGAATTTCTTCATTTCCATAATCATCAAATGAAACAGAACATGTTAAGGATAATGATGATATATCAATTATTGTTGCTTTATACAAAATACCATCTTCACTGTATGGACATAAACATAAATCACCAATTTTCCATTGAATATCCTCTGATGGTAACGAAGAATTATCTATCATTTCAACATTATCATCTGATGAAACACTTTAAACAAATAAAACAATAATTTTCAATTAAAAAAAAAAAAAAAAAAAAAAAGTAAAGTTTGTTTTTTGTTACTTTAATTCAACTGTTATTGGTTCTGTTGAAATTGTTTGTTGTTCAATAATTTGATTAAGTTTATCTGATGAAATTGCTTTTGCAAAAGCACGACATAAAAATAAATCGTCATTAGATGAATTTGATATCTTCACAATACTACTTGCACTACTCATCTAAAAATTAATTATATTTAAACTCAATCAACAAACAATTATTTATTAATAAGATAATCAAAACTCGAATTGA